ATCTCAGTTCACTGCAACCTCCGCCTCCTGGGTTCCAGCAATTCTCCTGCCTCAGCCTCCCTAGTAGCTGAGATTACAGGTGCCTGCCACCACACAAGTCTAATTTTTTGGTATTTTTAGTAGAGATGGGGGTTTCACCATGTTAGCCAGGCTGGTCTCGAACTCCTGACCTCAGGTGATCCACCCGCCTTGGCCTCCCAAAGTGTTGGGATTACCGGTGTGAACCACGGCACTGGGCCTGTATTACTTTTTTTTTTTTTTTTTAATAATTGTAAATGTCATTGTATTTATAATTTCAGTGTTCCTATGTTCATTGCTAATTTATAAAAATACAGTTGATTTATATACATGTATCTGATATCCTGCAACCTTGCTGAACTCACTTATTCATTCTAGAAATTTGTTTGAAGATTCTTTGGGATTTTGTTGTTGTAGATGTTGATGTTGGCAAATAGGCTCAGTTTAATTTCTTCCTTTCTGATGTGTATGCCTTTTATTCCCTTTTCTACCTTATTGCACTGGCTAGAACTTCCAGCACTATGTTGAATAAGAGTGGTGAGAGCAGATATCCTGCCTTGTTCCCGGTCTTAGGGGGGTAAGTATTCAGTCTTTCACAATTAAGAATAATGTTAGCCGTATAGTTTTTGTTGTTATTGTTTGGTTGGTTTTTGCTGGTTTGATTTTTGTAGACGCTTTTTAACATGTCGAAGAAGTTCTCTTCCATTTCTATTTCTGGGAGTTTTTCTTTTTTGTCATAAATGGGTGCTGATGTTTATGAAATGTGTTTTTTTTAATCAGTTAATATGATCATGTGATTTTTTTCTTTAGCCATTTAATATGGGTAGATTACATTGATTTTTTTTTTTTAATATTAAGCCAGCCCTGCATCACTTGAATAAATCTTACTTGGTCATGGTGTTATAAAATTCTATTTACAGATTGCCAAATTCTACTTGCCAATATTTTATTAAGAATTTTTGTGTCTATATCTGCCAGACACTGTCTTTATCTGAGTTTGCTATCAAGGTCGCACTGGCTTCAAAAAAATGCCTTGAGAAATGTTCCCTTCCATTCTCTGCAAAAGATTGTCAAGGATTTGTGCTCATTCTTATTTAAACTTTTGGTAGAATTCTCTGGTAAAAGCTTCGAGGCCTGGAGCATTCATTTTTGTGAATATTTAAATGACTGATTCCGGTTGTTTGATAATTATAGAACTGTTCACATTATTTTATATTGGGCGAGTTTTTGTAATTTGTGGTTTTTGAGAAATTAGTCTGTTTTATTTATGTTACTAAATTCATGTCTGTATATGTATGTATACTTATTATCCTTTTGATGTCTGCAGTGTCTGTAGTGATCTTTCCTATTTAATTGTTGTTATAGGTTATTTGTATCTTCTCTTTTGTCATTCTTCCTAGAGATTTGTCAGTGTTATTGATCAAAGAACAGACTCAACTTTTTGTTTCATTGATTTTTCTCTATTGTTTTCCTGTTCTCAGTTTAATTGATTTCTGTTTATTATTATTTCTTTTTTCTTGACCAACTTGCCCTTTTTCTAGGTTCTTGATGTAGTTTAGATTATTGATTTGAGACTTCTTATTTTCTTATGTGTGCATTTAGTGCTATGAATTGCCCACTCAACACTGCTTTACTTATGTCTCTCAAATTTTGCTATGTTGTATTTTCATTTTCTTTCTTTCTTTTTTCTTTTCTTTTCGTTTTTGAGATGAAGTTTCACTCTTGTCACCCAGGTGGAGTGCAATGGCACAATCTCGGCTCATTGCAACCTTTGCCTCCTGGGTTCGATCAATTCTCCTGCCTTGGCCTTCTGAGTAGCTGAGATTATAGGCACCTGCTACCACACCCAGCTAATTTTTGCATTTTTGGTAGAGATGGGGTTTCACCATATTGGCTAAACTGATCTCAAACTCCTGACCTCAGGTGATCCACCCACCTCAGCCTCCCAAAGTGATGGGATTACAGTTGTGAGCCACTGCACCCAGCCTTTTTTTTTTAAACTGAGATGGAGTCTTGCTCTGTTGCCCAGACTGGAGTGCAGTGGCAAATCTTGGCTCACTGTAATCTCTACTGCCTGGGTTCAAGCAATCCTCGTGCCACAGCTTCCTGAGTTAGCTGGGACTACAGGCACTACACGACTACACCCAGCTAATTTTTTTGTATTTTTAGCAGAGAGAGGGTTTCACCATGTTGACCAGTCTGGTCTTGGAACTCCTGACCTCATGATCTGCCCACCTCGGCCTCCCAAAGTGCTGGGATTACAGGCATGAGCCGCCTCGCCTGGTACTTTCATTTTAAATCAATTCAATTTATTTTTAATTTTTTTTAAGACCTCTTTGACTTATAGATATTTGAAGTGTGTTAATTAGTTTCTAAGTGTTTAGATATTTTCTGGCTACCTTTCTGTTAGAAATGTCTAGTTTGATGCAACTATGTGCAGTAACATACTCTGTTAGACTTTGATTTTTGAAAGTTTGCTTGAGATTTGTTTTATGACCAGGGATATGTATGGTCTGTGTTGGTGTAGGTGCCATGGACACTTGAAAAGAATGTGTATTTTGCTGTTGCTAGGTGGAGTGCTCTATAAATTTTGATTATATCTTCTTGTCTAATTGTATTCCTTGCTGGTTTTCTAACTAGTTGTTTCATCAGTTGTTGAGAGAAGGTTTTGAAGTCTTTGAGTATAATTACAGATTTGTTTATATCTCCTTTCAGTTCAATCAGTTTTTGCTTCACATGTTTTACAACTCTGTTGTTTTGTGCGTGCACACTTAATACTACCATATACTTTTAGTGAATTGTCCATTTTATCATTACATAATGTTTCTTTCTCTGGTAATTTTATTTGCTCTGAAGTCTGCTTTAATGTTAGTATAGCCACTCCTGCTTTCTTTTGATTAATGCTTGCATTACATATCTTTTTCCATCCTTTACATGTGCATGTATCATTATTTTTAAAGTGAGTTTCATGTAGACAGCATATTATTGGGTGATTTTTTTTAATTCATTCCACCACCGTCTGTGTTTTTTTTTTTTTTTTTTTTTTTTTTTTTTTTTTTTTTTGTTTCTTTTTTTTTTTTTTTTTTTTTTTTTTTTTGAGATTGATTTTCACTCTTGTTACCCAGGCTGGAGTGCAATGGCG